TTGAAATGAATGCATGCAAGATTTCATAGCTCTAGCATAACTTCTTCATAGACAGCCTATGAACTTTTCAGCCCAACATCGTACATACAAAGAAACAATGCAGTTATTAATAAGAGTTGAAATGAAAGCATGCAAGATTACACAGCTCTAGCATGACTCCTTCATAGTCAGCCTATGAACTTTTCAGCTCACATTCATACCTGAAAGGGAACAATGCAGTTCTTAAGAAAAAATGAAATTTATGCCTGCAAGATTTCATAGCTCTAGCATAACTCCTTTAACGAACTACACTATAAGGAAGACTACCCCCCCCTTTTAAGAAAAGCACATCCTCTTCACTCGGATTATTTTTCTCGATACCCCATATATGTTCAGTTTCGTAATAGGAACGTAAACAAAACAAATTCTAAAGAATTCATAATTTTATTTTTAATCCGACATTTTAAAATAATTCTAGCGTTATCATAATAATCATTAATAGGCAGTTGGGCTTAGTTTGAGTTATAATGTATATAAATGAAGGTAGAAAAAAGCAAATGTTGATAAGATAACGAGCGTTAGAAGCACTACCCAATCAGGCTTGTCCTACCCGAGGGTATTTCGTGCCGGCCCTGATATAGTATATACAAACGACTCATGTTATTGCAAGTGACTACGAAAATTTTCTGTCGATGTGTTTTCATGATATTTTGATAACCATGCAAGAAGTGTTTCTTGACACGAAAGCCAATCTTAAATGTATTTTCTACTGAAAAACGCCCTTATTGGCGACTCAACGTAGAATAAAAGGCAACTGAATCTAAAGTAAACAGAGCTGTCAAATCAAGAAGGACGAGCTTCCTGTTTGTTAAGCCTAATTAAAGAGGACATCTGCCGAATGCGGTCGCAGAGTTGCGTGCGTAAGAAGTTCAGAATGCTATTGATCAACATATCGTCTGTGTCACAAGAAATGCACTTTGGCATAAACGTCTATAAAACAATAAAAAACTACTGTTAATACTATAAGAATATGCAAGTGATAGTAAAGGGAACTAACCCCTTTATCATTCAAAAATCATCCTAATCCGGGATTTTGATTGGCTAACTACTGTCCAATCAGCATCCCTTCCACGCCATGCGGTAAACTCGATCCTGAAATCTTGCTCTCTTGCAAGCAACAGCCGTAGTAACCACACGTTTATTGGAGTCGTCCTTTCCGACGTTAATGGTGTACAGATGCTACAAGATCGCAGATCACACTTGTTCCTTAGACACTCTTCCAACAGTTAAGTCCATGATTATAAATTATATTTGCAAGCTTTTTTACCTACTGTGCATACACACCTCTCTACACCAAACCCGTTGAATTTAATACTGTTATTAGTATTCTTTATAAGCCAATCATAATTTTCCGGCTATTGTATAATAACGTCTCTTCTTTTTTTCAGACAATACTGTGTCAGTATCAAGCTACTCTCATCTATGAACGATAGTTGACTTATATTTTGCAACGAAAGTTCACGGAAGTAAGGAAATTGGTTAATTTCAACGAGGGCAAATAATAGGATGGCATCAGTGTGGTAAGTCAAATAGAGAAATTGCTAGGTTTTGCCAGGTTAATCATCGAACGGTTAATAATATTGTCAAGAAATTTAATGAAGAACGCCCTTGTCGTGTAGAACAACCTCCAGGAAGACCAAGCATCGTGTCTGAAAGAACGAAAAGGTCGCTGAAGAGGGAAGTCATCAGAAACTGTCGTCAGAGCGTCAAAGGTGTCGTCAACAGCATGAAAATGTCGCCATATGCGATGAAAAAAAACTCTAAAAGAGCTAGGGTATCAAAGAAGAGTTGCAAGAAAAGAAGTCCTTGATTTCAAAGGTTAACAGGAACAGGCGTATGGACTGGGCGAGAGAATTCGAGAGCAAAGATTATGAAATTTGACAGTCTGTAATTTGGTCAGATGAAAGTAAATTCTGCCAATATTCGAATTCGAGATTGGTTTATACTTGGAGAAATCAGAATGCGACTTGGAACACTGAATGTCTGCAAGTGACCGTGAAACATGTAGGGATTGGAGTAATGGTGTGAGGTACTGTCTGGTTTGGAGGGAAATCTGAGATGATTCTTGTTGACGAATGTTTGAATGGTCCAAAATACTGTCAAATATTAGAGAAAGGACTACTCCCACTATTTGAAACCAATCAGATTGACAAGAATGTCTACCTTTTTCAAGAAGATGGAGGGCCATGTCATATGAGCAAATTAATAAAGTCCTGGAAGGAATCGCAAGGAATCAATCGGTATCACAAAAAAGGCACAGAAAGGCAACCTTACGGCGGTGGATAAGTGATTGAAACCGAGATGCCAGATCAAGACCAATAATATTGCTGATTCTTCTTTGGATCTTATCAAGGAGCTCAAGGTAAATAACAGGGGTGCCGAACCATAAAAGACAGCAATATTCTAAGCATGAACGAATAGTAAACTTATGTAAGATTGATTCCGAAGAGAAAAAATATCTCGCACGGCACTGCGAACCGACTTTCTTAGCAGCTGACCTAGCAATGGATTCATCTTTCCACTTTTGATAAATTGTTGTGTATAAGGCCCCTTCTGTATCCATAGATACTTTTTTACGTTTTAAATATAGTCAGAAGTATTAGGATTTATGTTTGATGGACTGGTTAGAAATATTCATGTTGTTTTTTCCATTTTCATGGGTATCTTTGCATTATTCACCTCATTGAATTTGGCTGCTTGACTTCATAATAAAGATAAAATAGTAGTTGTTATATTCAATGACAACGTTGCGTCATTCTAATAATTCGACTAACGCTGATATTGTGACCTTTAGTTTGATATTCACAATCAAACTAAGTAGTCATACATCATATTATTAAATTAAACAATAGAACAAATTTATTGTAACAAAACAAGTTCAGTTGACCACTGATGACAATTCCAGAACAACGTAACTATAAACAATTTTTTTCTATCCTCTGCCAGCCGCAATGATGGAGAAAGCATTACCTCGAACCATTGCCAGTGAGACACGCTGCAAGAGCCACTCCGTTTTGCGAGGCTCGTCCCTTAATCGAGATGCAATCGCGCCAACCCTCCGAAGGAACGCCATTGAACGAGGGCCAATAACCCCTGAAGTCTTCACTGCCGCAGGAGTAAAAAAAAAAAATCTATCAGCAAGAGAAGAATATTTAACTATTTTTTTTCATCTCTGCGTCCCGGGCGACGGATCTCGGCTCAACCGCGGACCTGATCAAATTACCGGCAGAAAAGTTCGCATCCCAAATCAACGACTTCCCCATTTTAAAAGGGAAAATGGTAATGCCATCCGGCCGCTTTCCATCACCGCGGTCGAGGCCTACGGGTTCGATTTGGGAATGAACCCAGCTGCATCCAAACCTCTTTTGATGATGTCGTTAATGGCAGAATCCCGTGGAAAGCGGCCGGCACTACGACGACAGGAGAAAGGATGCAAACCAAACTCATCGATAGAGGCTCCACATCTGCATCTGTGACGATCACATAATTTGAGTCCAAGACGGATCCTGACTCCACTCGAATGCACTCATCATCTAGAAAGGTACCGGTAGATGAAGAGGGCACTGCGTTGAGCCAGGCGCCACTACTCGGTTGTGAATCAGATAGTAGACAGGCGAGGCGATGCTGATCCAGAGAGAGCCTCAAATTAGTAAAATTGGCCTCGCATTTTATTTTATCCCTGTTTTTTTTTTTTTTTTTTGATGTATCTAGTGGGAGAGAAAGTAATTCTTGGGTCCAGACGCTGCAAGCTTGATCGAAAGAACTACCCGAGAAACACTGAGACGACCCACCGAGTATCTCATCAATTAATTCGTGACTGGACGAAAGTGAAGAAAGATATGCTGGAAGGGCCAAATCTACCGCTGATCGAACCCCCAGGCCTCCGAAACTCAAAGGGAGCTTTGCCTGCCTCCAGCCTGTGTCGTCGAAATTGACGTTGCAAATTAGCTCCGCACATCTCTTAACTGTGATATCTATCTCATTTAAGAAATCCTGTTCGAGGTAGCAAGGGGCACTTTGGAGAGTTTAGAGGAAACTCGGTAGCGAAAAACTGTTCTCAGTCATTCTTGTTAATGACATGGTTAGTATCCAAACATTCTCGAATGGCCATTGGAAAGACTGGAGAACCAAGAATATGTAATTCCTCCTTAGGTGTTATTTTTATATCCTCAAGGATGAGTCTGATATCCCGGATAGCACTCTCGCACTTAATTATTAAATGGTTCAATATTGGTTAAAAATCATGGAGAATAATTAGAGTTAAACAACTGTAGTTATCTCCCCCTACATCTTTCCCGTTTGAGTTATTTCCGTTGTATTGGAAAATAATTTATATAATTGAACAATTGAAAACATGAAGGGGCACAAAATTAATATTATTTGAAGACTAATTTAAATTAACCGTAAGTTCCGTAACAAAGTTTGTGAAAACGTTTTACCATTTCATAGTAGATTAATGTAAAACATACAAAAATAGACTAAACAGAATAATAATCATAATAATTTAATTTATTTGTGGATCAAACAAAAAAGATTGAGGTATTAAAATATGGAATTAAACGTAAAGATAGTAAGCCCAAAAAGATAGGTAGACTTAGTGGCGACAACGATTAACCAGAATGTACCCTTTCCTTCTCTTTTGCTCAATGCGTTGACAGAATGATTTACACGAATAGATTTCTGATAGGAAAGGTTGAAACACTTTAAGCTAAACTTTCTCTGACTCTGCAGAGAGAGGGTCAATGACCTCATTTCGCCCACAATGGGAAAAAGTTCGTATTTGAAAATTGACCACGTGACAAGAAAAAAAAAAAAAATGAAACGAATAGTGAAACGAAAAAGTTAGTTTTGTCCAGGCCTTAGGGCCGGCCGGACGTGTCTGCTTAAAATACAAGAGTCTTGTCCAGGCCTAAGGACCGAACTGACGTGTTTGCGAAAAACACAAGAGTTTTGTCCAGCCCTCAGGGCTGAAAGGACGTTTTCGTGAAAATACGAGAAGGAGAATTTATCTCCGAATGGAATAGATGGACCCGTTTGCTATGAACGCAAAAGTTTTGGTTGACTATGCAAAAAAAAAAAAAAAAAGAAAAGTCTTTCTTCGAACATCGAACGGATGACCGAACGCAAGCGCGTGGGACGCGAGAGAAACGTTGAATTTTGGAAAATAAACTACGACGTATGCGGATAGCCGCTACATGGGGATGAAAGAGAGACAGATGACAGCTTATAGGAAAAGAAAGCGAGGAAAGATCTCAAAAGGAGATACTTATGGGAAAAGGAAAGAGATGAAGAAAATATTTCAAAGGAGAATGATGCCACACCGAGATGAAGGAAAAAGCTTTTTGAATTTGTAGGTTTGATGAATTGGATCGTAATTACGATTCCAATGTAATAAATTATAACCATATAATATTAGTGTTTGAGCCTTTTATATTATATTCTTACTCTGTCCTGGACATTGATTTCTACCTGGATTCTATCCTCTTGGGAATTCATATATATATATATATATATTGACCACTAATATTATTACTATATATATATATATAACGTGATAATATATATATCAATGGTCAATATATATATATATATATATATATATATATATATATATATATACATTGACCACTAATATTATCACTATATATATATATATATATATATATGTGCTAAGGACTTAAAGACTATCAATACGAGAACTTTCTGACAAGAACTTATGAACACTTTGAAAATATTTTATCTTTTATTTTAAAAGATATAAAATTTTTCAGTACATACAATATATACCTTTTTCTTAATTATCTTTGCATGCATTTTTAAAAGGTCATAAATTGGTGCATGTTTGATTAAAGACGCTATCCGAAGGTAACCACCTGTGAACATCTAAAGCCACACACTTTCAGCTGTGGCCTTGGTCAATGGAAATCGGGTTGACGACTTAAGAGAGTTCTTTCGAAGACGCCGGTAGCCAAAAACGAAATCCTATACGAAGACGAAAGAGTCTATTCAATTTTTGTTTGCTGACCCATGTTTATATTTATTTTAAGACACACAAGGCTTAAAAGTTTACAACAGCTTTTAATCCTCTCCTAAGCAAATTATTTGTGAATTGTGAAATTCAAGGTGGAAGCAATTTTGTCCATTGATTTTAAAATACTCTGGAGCTCTAAGCAATGGCTGAATTTTTAAAATCTTTGTAGGATTATTCTCTAACCTTTTATCTTTTATTGTAAATTTTCAATTTGGACTGGAACTAGTGACTTCATGACAGTCGAAAGGTTGAAAAGTAAATAAACCAAATGCTTCAATGCAACAGTATGAATAATATTGGTTATCTCCCCTTGGTTGATAAGACCATTTGATGGGAGTTTGTATTGACGCCGTACATTTTTTAATTTACAAATGTGTAAACAAACGAAAATCAAACAAGAGAAACAACACAAAAACTGCTTCTATAACAACAAACGATCTTCATTTTACTGTATGAAATACATAGATAATCAATTATGCGATTATATGTAGTAAAAGTTGTAATAATACAATAGGAGTTATTTCCCTTTAACTGTTATTTGAATTAGCTAAGACTTTAAGGAAACTATATTCGACTCACAGAAAAGATTTTAGTTCATGAAATAATAGTAAGTTTCAATGGAAAGAATGTTCTTCAATAAGTAGGTATTGTTGGCTGAAATTCGATGTAAGAGGAATTCGAAGAAACTTATGATTGAGGGAAAATGTAATCTTCACATGAATATCGAAAAGTTGAATAAACTTTACTAGCCGCTTCTTAAGTTGTTCACCGAAGAGAGATGGATATGAGTGAAAGAATTCTGGAAAGCTGAAAATATGTGTAATCTTAACTCATAGCTCCAGAGGATTTTGAAGTAATATTTCTCGCTGGTAAATATTGACAAGAGGCGAAAGTTGTAAAGTTGAATAAGTTTCTGCGTAAGGAGTGAACGAGAAGAGTTCAGAGATGTGCAGTGTTCGTACGCACGTGTGTGCGCGTGTGTGTCATAGCGTCTGCCCCAAAGGGGTCAAACGAAATCTCTCTAACGTTACATCTTTTGTGCGTGTGTGTATTCAACGTGTCTTGATTGATAAGCCTCTCGCGGAGGCGTAAATGGGTAACCTGGAAGATAGAACTTTGTTGTTGTTACTGTTGTGGAGGTTAATTCCTTCTCCACCTCAACAAATGTAAATTCAAGCGTCAAACACAGGAGGACATTTACATATAAATTCAAAATTAGTAACTTTTGTTATTTGTTGCTGTTGCTAAAGCAACAGGGAGAACGAATGGTGAAATTAGAGTTGAAATGGGCAGTGGGGTTTGCTGCCGTTGTGGGTGGGTCTTTTCTCTCGTTGACATCAAACACTGATCTGTTTCGGGTCTGTTTGAATTTGAGTATGTTGCAGAGGAGGTGGTCATTAGGAAAAAATATTTATATATCAGAAAGTATTATTTATGTGTTGGTTGCGTGAAAATAAACTTCTCCACAAACATTTAACTTTGGACATGAGACAAGGTCATCATCGACAAAATATAAAACAAACAATATTCCTTTTTAGAAAAACACGAATAAAGAATTTATATAACAAATATATGCCACATGAGAATGTTCTTTAGGATAGATAAAGAGTTTGTTTAGAGTTCCTGTCAGTAAAAGGATTTTCAAAGAATTAATCAGTTCAGATTAAATAATATTTTACATCGTAAATTTCTGTCAGTTTGATATTAGAGATTAGGTAAGAGTTGTCTCCCTTTACTTGTTGAATATAAAATATTTTTTGTTAATGAATCAGATAAAAAGATGGAAGTTTAAATATTACGTGATAAAGTTGATTCAATAAATGAGTAAAGTCTTTTGAAGAAAGTAAGTTGTGTTCTTCCTGGAAAGTTTGTTGTAATCGAAATTGGTAAATGAAATGTTGGTTGATATCAAAATTTAGAATTTTCTGCTTAAAAGATACACTTTTTTAAGCTTATAACTTTTGAGTAAATTGTGCATTAAATATTAAAAATCTTTTGGGCCAAAAGATTTTTAATATTTAATGCACAAGTTTTGGCTGTAAGATAGTTGAATCGAAGTAAGTTTGCGTTAGGTTATGTTCAAAGTTGCTTTTTGAATAAAACGTTTGTTTGGCAAACTGTATGTTCTTTGAGTAGAATTCTTGTTGTCTCGATAAAAATCGTAGATGTTAAAATTGAAGTGTAGTTTGTTGGTGAGTGAGTGAATTTTGAAGTTTGGTATTATGTCAGGAAATTTTACTTAGAAACTTCAAAGATTTGAAGGGCGTGAATTTGGCGAATTGTATGATGCCACAAAACTCACTGTTAGAAGTTGATATGATATGTGTTGAAACTTGGATAAGCATGGAATAATAATAATACAACACAAAATGTACGTAAACAAAATGTATTGAAACAAGGAAAGGTACACAATATTTACAGTTAGTTTTGGTATATTCTTGGGAAGACTGTTCCTGCAGAATGGGTTGACTAAATCATAGTCGGGCAGAGTCTCTCGATTCGATCTCTTCTTACAATCTCCCGTCTTCCGGTACCAACCCATATTTATATGGTCGGTACTCCACTTATGTAAATTAGGTGTATCGTACCACAACAATATGTTTCTGTTGCTTGTAGCTGAATAAGTGAATAAGATGAGTTAATAGATGTGCAACGTTCGTACGTACATATGTGCGCGTGTGTACGTGTGCCATAGCTTCTTCCCATAAGGGACAGACGTGATCTCTCTAATGATACATCTTGTGTGTGCGAGAAGGCAAAAGAGAATGAGTTAAAAATGTGTCCAAGTATTTAAACGTGATATTTATAATATTGCATGTCACATAGACAGATTTTGGGCGGAAAATTAATTTTAACCGTGCGGACGTAGACGGAAGCATGATATCGGCATTAATTGACCAATCAGGAGTCAGAGATATATCAAGGCTCTGTGATCCACTTTGGTGTTTAGCTTGTACAAAAACTGACGTCGAAAGAAAGTGGTAGCAGAAAGCTAAAAGTATATATAGCTGTTAATCGGCTCCAAATGAAGGTTTTTGAGCGGGAGTGGCTCAGACTGGTCATAACGTATTTTCATTTTATTTGGTTAAAGCGGATATATGCGTAGAACGATGCGCAGAAAAGTGTTTACGCAGTCTGTTTTGGGGTGACGAACGGCCAACATCTGGTTTGTGTAGAAAATATAAGTGGCACGATAAGCTCGGCGGAACGTTGTGATAACAACAAGAAAGATAAGGACAACTGTCCGAATATAAATAGTGTAAATAATTATGATTCCTCATCCCAGAAATTCAGACAAAAATACAATATATTTATTTCTGTACACGACTCATAAAGGAAGAGTAGATGTAATTTTCTGAAATGACATTCGCATGTCAGCACAAATATGCTGACGTCATTACAAATATACTGACGTCATCACAAATATGCTGACGTCATCGCAAATATGCATTTACACATAAAATAACAATCTTTTTCATTACGGTCTGTTTTTGGTAACATATCTGCACTTTCAAATTTATATCTCTATCACAAATGGAGTTGTAACAATTGAAAATGGTGCGTGAACAAAAATGCATCCCCTCTGCCTGGTTAGAAAAAATAATGTTTCTCACAGACTGCACTGATATAATTGTTGCGTCATCAAAGTGGCATTTGGACTAGAATCTCGTCCAAGGCAACTTTAAACTACACTGTCATCCAAGGCAACTTAAGGCTACACCCTCACACAAAGCAACTTTGGACTAGACTCTCAACCAAGGCAACTTTGGACTAGAGTCACCCAAAGCAACTTTGGACCCACCCAAGGCAACGTTAGACTAATCTCCCATCCAAGGCAACTTTGTACTAATCCTCTCACCCAAGGCATCTTTGGACTAGACTCTCGTCCCAGGCAACTTTGGACTAGACTCGTCCAAGGCAACTTTGGACTAGAATCTTGTCCAAGGCAACTTTGACTAGACTCTCACCCAAAGCAACTTTCTCTCTCTCTTCTTGTTTTTGTTCTTGTAACGGCATTCACCCGAGGTGGGTTGAGCCGGCTCCAATATTGGAGTTTCATGGGAATTTGGAATTCATAACCCGCATGAGATTTGATTATAGTGGCGAAGGTTTCGTGCAGGATCATCCACACTTTTTGAAGGGCCGATTACTGAGATCTGGTGCACTACGTGCCACAAGGTCCCCAAACGACCTTACGCAGGTTTTGAATTCAGAGTTTTCCCTCTCCTAGACCAGTTGCCATCCACGGCTATAGAGCCCAGTCTGTCCTGATATTTACCCATAGCTGGAGGGAGAAGAAGAGGATTCACATCTTTCCCAAGGTATTAGCACGTAAGTGAATGTAATGGATTCGACTGGAATTCGAACACGGCTCTCCGATTCCTCAATCCAAGCCGCTATCGATTACTCCACCGTGCTCTTCAAGGCAATTTTGGTCTAGACTAGTCTAAGTCAACTTTGGACTAATCCTCTCGTCCAAGGTAACTTTGGACCAGACACCCAAGGAAACTTTAGACTACTCTCCCACGCAAGGCAACTTTGGACTAATCTCTCGTCGATGACAACTTTAGACCAGTCTCTCACTCAAGGCAACATTGGACCAGACTCTAGTCCAAGGCAACTTTGGACTAAACTCACCCAAGACAACCTTGGAGTAACCTCCCACCAAAGGCAATTTTAGACTAGACTCTCGTCCTAGGCAATTTTAGAGTAGACCCTGACCAAAGGCAACTTTGCACTAGACTCACCCAAGACAACTTTGGACTAATCATCTCACCCAAGACAACTTTGAAGTAGACACTCACCCAAGGCATCATTAGATTAGACTCTCGTTCAAGGCAACTTTAGACTAGACCCTGACCCAAGGCAACTTTGGACTAGACCATCAAGCAAACCAACTTTGGACTAATCCTCTCACCCAAGGCAACTGGATTAGACTAGTCCAAAGCAACTAGACCCTCATGCAAGGCAACTTTGGACTAGACTCTCACCCAAGGCAACTTTAGACTATGCTCACCAAGACAACTTTGGACTAATTTTCCATGCAAGGTAACTTTGGACTAATCTCTCGTCCAAGGAAACTTTAGACTAGTCTATCACCCAAGGCAACTTTGGACCAGACTCTCGTCCAAGGCAACTTTGAACTAACATCCCACCCAAGGCAATTTGGATTGATCCTCTCGTCCAAGGCAACTTTGGACTAGACCCTCACGCAAGCCAACTTTGGACTAACCTCCAACCCAAGGTAATTTTGGAATAACCCTCTCACCCAAGGCAACTTTGGACTAATCCTCTCACCCAAGGCAACTTTGGACTAATCCTCTCACTCAAGACAACTTTGGACTAGACACTCACGCAAATCAACTTTGGACTAACCTCCAATCCAAGGCAACTTTGGATTGACCCTCTCACCCAAGACAACTTTGGACTAATCCTCTCACCCAAGGCAACTTTGGAGTAATCCTCTCACCCAAGGCAACTTTGGACTAGACCCTCACGCAAGCCAACTTTGGACTAACCTCCAACTCGATGCAACTTTGGACTAACCCTCTCACCGAAGACCACTTTGGACTAGACCCTTACGGAAGCCAACTTTGAACAAACCTCCAACCCAATGCAACTTTGGACTAATCCTCTCACCCAATGTATCTTTCGACTACAGTCACCCAAGGCCACTTTGGACTAATCCTCTCACCCAAGACAACTTTAGACTAATACTCTCTTCCAAGACAACTTTGGACTAGACCCTCACGCAAGCCAACTTTGGACTAACCTCCAACCCTATGCAACTTTGGACTAACCCTCCACCAAGAAAACTTTGGACTAGACCCTTACGGAAGCCAAATTTGGACTAACCCTCTCACCCAAGGCAACTTTGGACTAATCTTCTCACCCAAGACAACTTCGGAGTAGACCCTCACGCAAGTTTCTAGCATCTTCGGCTGCTGAGTTTCCTTTCTTGAACTCATAAAGCATTATGTGCCTCAAATGATTCTTGGGTACTTCCATGTTAGCAGGGTTTTAATCAAACATAATTTAATTTTATTGTTCTCTGAAATAAAATTTGATCAGTTTAAATGCATCTAAACATAAAAATAATGTTCAGCTCCATTAGACATTATAAAATACTCTTTAAATTTCGTTCATTTTAACAAAAAGGTAAAATTCGGACAGAACTTATGGGATGACCTGATATCTCTGTCTGAAAATTCAAATTTTAATGTCGAATTGAGGCTTTCTCCATATAAAGTCGGGTTTAATGATATACTAGAACTCTCTAGGTATGAAATTTATCGAATATATGAGCATAGCATTGCCAGAAAATGTGTTTTTTACGGCTAAATCTATCTTCGTATACGATCTCTGTGGTTTGTTTACGTTTTGGCGGAAACTTTAAAAAAAAAACACTTTTCTTAACGCCTTCTTCACATAAACTCAGAACTTTTCTGTTAATTCACCTGAAATAATGTAAAGTTACTTTATCTCAAATATTAATTCACCCCAAGAAATTATAAATTTTTTAAATCAAAGTTTTTGGGGGTTTTTTTTTATTAAATTTTTGGCACTCTTTTGAAATTATAAATTTTAAATCAAAATTTCTTTAGTTTGCCTCGCAACAATTCCTGCGCTCAGAATGAAAAAATACCAAAAATCAGGAAATTATTTACGTTTCATAAGTGCGGGTGATATTCGAGGTACTTAAAATGAATTTTTTTACAATTTAAAAAAGAAGAAGAAAAGAATCTGTTTTTGGCTTGCTTATGGAGGTGAGCGCGAACGTAGACCTCACACGTAGAAAAAAAAACCGTTATGAATTTCTATTGCAAGCAAAACGGACCCATAAATTAATAAAGTACCAGATAGAAATAGATGACTTTATTACCGGACACTAATTAATTGTGACTTATTCTTAGACCAAATTGTGACTTTTCTTCTGTGACTTCTTTCCTGTGACTTTGTTACCGGCCACGCACTATTGAAAGCGACCAGTCATGCTTTTCATTCAGAATTTCCGATACACATGTGACACCGTAGATGTATAATGCCTCCCCATACAATTTCAGAAATGAGATCACCCATCCGGATCTATCATACCTCGCATGGACTCCGATAATTCACGTCGACTTGCCATGGGCAGTTTATCCGGTTTTCTTACCAGATGTCAAAACACAGCTTCTATAGGTCTGTGTATTTCCACGATGTCAAGCTACGATGGCACCAACTATCATTACCTTTGCATCCTGTTATCCCATGACTTTTGGCACATCACACACACAGAGAGACACACACACTTGTATATATATCTATTGCTGTATTTGGTTTTATAACTGGTAGGATGGGAGGAAATCATCCGATGTGAGTCTCAAAATAAAAATTAATACGTTGTTGATGTCATGGCTTTTGACAAAATGAGTGCAGAAAAACTGTTGTCTCTATCTGGGTCATGATTGCCCTGGGCACCAAAAAATTTACTCAGTTTGGACCGAAAATGTAAAATATTTTTATATGTCCTATTTGCATGAATGGCCATGAATCACGTTTTTTTCTTTTCTTTACCTTCAAAGACAAATCAAATTTTTTCTGGACATAGTATATTAAAAAGAAAAATAATGACAAATCTTTTCGGCATTCTGAATCGGAATAAATGTTTCTTCTTCTTTCTTTTTTTTTTTTATTAAAGTGACTAAATTGAGATTATTATTTAAAATATATTTTCCAACCCAGAAGCTCAATATATTTGTTTTATCTTTTTGAAAGGAGTTAACGTTGTGAAGTGTTTTTCCTCTGTGATGTAGACGTTGAAATGTTTTCACTTACTGCGTAGTTAGGTATTAATCTTTAGGTCATTTTTTCTTTTTTTTTTTCTATCCTTGTTTGAGATTTTCTCTTGATTAGGTCTTTTGGTAAGTTGTCAGTTGGTTACAGCAACGTAGTGTTATTTCTTCAATAATATTATTAATACAATATCAAAATTGGCTACTCAGAGTTTTGTGTTGAATACGATATAAAAATAACTTTCTTTTCTCCACTGTTTTCAAATTCGCGAGCCTATGCGAAAATTTATTTTGACCAATGGAAAAAGGGAATTGCTCCGGGTTGAAGAAAAGACCAAGGCAAAGTTTAACGAGCCTATGTGAAAATTTATTTTGACCAATGGAAAAGAGAAGCGGCTTACAAACTGAGAAAAAAGTAACGAGCCGATTTGAAATCGCTTTTTGATATAAATAGGCACAGAACGTTGAATCAAGGCAGAGAGAGAGAGAGAGAGAGAGAGAGAGAGAGAGAGAGAGAGAGAGAGAAGCAGGAGGCAGAAAGACAGAGTTCCACACGTCTGGATAACACCGGTGTCAAATTACACTCTGATACATTATCAGCCTCTGATGTGAGAAGGGCAATTTCAAAGAACTCTATTCAACTCCAACGCTAAGTATCACAAAATGCATCTTTTCATTCATGTTGAATACAACTGTATAATTTTTATGTGAAAAACGAACACTCTCAGTTTGTTTTAAAGATTTGGGAATATTTCTTTGTGTCTAATGATGAGTATTTTCTCTTCTTGATAATTCATCGAAACTACGAACTTTAAATATTTGATTCCTTTTCTTGAAACAAAATACTTACAACTCCAAATGTGTAAATTTGTAAATAAATTCCTTATCCTGTTTCTTTAAGCATAACACGTATGTTTCCTCGTCACTATCCCTCTCAATACTTCAGTTTCATCTAGTAACACTCATCAGGCAGATATAATCTCCGCCTGTTTGTCATTACATGGATCTCTTGAGTAGCCGATTTTGATATTATTGTATTAATAATATTATTATAATATATTATATTTAAGTTCTGTTGACCTTGACCTTTAAATGTCAGTTTATTTTATAGTTTAAGCTTTTAACTTATTTTAAGCTTTAGTTTTTTTACTCTTATATATGTGTGTTATATTATCACTTTAAATGTTAGTGTATACTAATATTTGAGTAGTCATTCCACTTATTTATTAAAAACACTAAACAGTATATTTATTTATTTCCGTCTCTCAGCCTGAATATTCAAAAAATCTTATTAAAGAAAAAGATGCCCACGCCCCCGGCAGTACTCAAAATCTGCGTCCTTCTCGTGTAGAGTTGTTGATAGAAGTCAGACGTAGAAGAAACGCAAGTAAGGTTCAGATACTCCTGCCCGCCGGGCCCAACTACATAAAAAGGTTGGACTTTGATTAAGTCCAAAGAAGAAGGTAAAGAAAGCAAACAAAACACAAGACCGATAATATATGTATATACAAATATATATTAATAACAAGTTACAATACATGAAAACAGTACAAAGGACGAAGTGTGTGTGAATATTCTGTATGTGCGTGCGTGTGTGAATATTCTGTATGTGCGTGCGTGTGTGTGTATTGTGCTTAGCGTGTTTCCACGCTATCCCTTGTTAGCGCCTACATTTCGAGGTTGATAGCTGAAATCCTGAAGGAAAAAAGAGATAGAGGCCAAGGGTCAGCGGCTATTTATAGCCAGGGAAGAGAGACCCCTGGTGAAAGGCTTAACGGACTGAAGGAGGAGTTAACTCCGACACTCGTTAGATCCGATGAGCCTTAACCCTTAAAGCCCTGACAATCGCTTTACCGGTGATAGGGGAAAAATGACGTAATGCCCAACCAGCGGTTGAACGGTGTGTAAAAACTTGTGACTATTTTTATACCTACCGTGAAACATTACATACCAATTATTTGCGAATTTTGACTCAGGTGCTCAGGCAGAAGGTTTAGGAACGCAAGGCTCAAAGGCTCAACCAACTCCGGACACAGAGCAAATTTGCTGACCAAGCAAAGTTCGAAACGTGTCTTAAAGCAAAATTCCTCCCGTATTAAATTCCTCAAAATTTTCATATTTGTTCAATTTCTTATCCAAACGTAAAGTAATTTTCTAAGGTGATGGATTTATCAATCCGTCTGCCTCGTCAGTCATGTATCGAAAGATACATGATCGTCTAAGCGTGTATCACGTGTGGCACATAACTGACTGATCAATTTTTTCTATTTAATTTTTCCAATTTCCAATTTAGGTGTTATGTGCTATTGGTAAATTTGCCAAAGTTCATATTTATTTTTATTTTATATTATTTTCTTCCCGAGTTCTTTGGAATGTTGTTACATCCGTCTTCAAGGATTGTTCTGTGTAGATTTACACAACTGCTTTTGTTTAATTCCTGCGTTCTCACGTTTGATTGGACCAATTTCAAGCCACTTGAGCATAATTTTAGATATAAATTTAAGATTTTGCACATAAAGTGCATCCGTACAGAGCTGTTAATATAACACATTGCAAATTCTTTTCTCATCTTAGTGCGACTGTCAGTTTCATGTGTAGGTAATCATCAGGTATAGGAAGAAACCATGCACAAGATAGATAGATAGATAGATAGATAGATAGATAGATAGATAGATAGATAGATATGAACAGAGAATTATAGATAGGTATGAACAGGGAATGATAGATAGATAGATAGATAGATAGATAGATAGATAGATGATATGAGAGAATTATAGATAGATAGATATGAACAGGGAATGAAAGATCGATATATCGATCGATAGCTAGCTAGCTAGCTAGCTAGATAGATAGATAGATAGATAGATAGGAACAGAGAATGATAGCTAGATAGATTGATAGATAGATAGATAGATAGATGAGAACAGAGAATGATAGATAGATTTATAGATAGATAGAAAGGAACAGAGAATGATAGATAGATAGATAGATAGATAGATAGATAGATAGATAGATAAGAACAGAGAATGATAGCTATCTAGCTAGCTAGATAGCTAGCTAGCTAGCTAGCTAGCTAGATAGATAGATAGATAGATAGGAACAGAGAATGATAGATAGATTTATAGATAGATAGATAGGAACAGAGAATGATAGATAGATAGATAGATAGATAGATAGATAGATAGATAGATAGATAGATAGATAGATAGATATAATATTGTGCATAGTGAGTGCTGGGTGTAAAAATACAGTGGTCGATGTAAAATAACAGCGCTAAAATATATACATATTATATTGTTCTTACTGTACGATGCTACTCAATGTTTCATGTGCGTTACACTCATCTACATAAATAAATGCGAATGTCAGTGTGTCACTGTGTCACACCTTTTCAACTTTACTCCTAGAGGCAGTAGCCCAACATAGCCGTAGCCATTTTGAAATCAGGTCGACTCTGTGAGCAAATTAAAAACATTCCGGTCTGGATCGGGACCTGCAATTCTGAAATTTTGGATTCTTAAGATTTCTTTACTGCGATTGTTTTTGCTCATTTTTTATGTGATTTTTTTATGTGATTTTTTATGTGATTTTTTTATGTGATTTTTTTTTGTGATTTTTTTTTGTGACAAATTTTTTTGTACGATAACAACTTTTATAACTTAGAAATAAATTTGGGAATAATCAAAATTAATTTTTGAACCCGATCTGTCCTGCTATTTACTGGAGAGGAGAAGAAGAGGATTCATACCTTTCCCAAGGGTATTAGCACGTAAGTGAATGTAATGAATTCTGCTGGAATTCGAACTCGGCTCTCCGATTCCTCAATCCGAGCCGCTATCTATCTGTGCCCCCTTTTTGCTTGTAGGTAATGATAAAGTACAAAAGGATTTTTTCCACATTTTATAGATGATAGAACAATATATGGTAAATACTGTGATCAAAAAGTATTGGTATTGATACTATGGTGACGGAGCTAAAATACGCAGGGTGAAGCCACTTGGAACAGACTGAACTTTGCCGCGCATACACATTAAGTTATAACGTTCTCACTCAATTTCATTGTTTCGTGCTCGGAAGGAAGGTGTTTAGAGTGTGATCGTCTTATAACACCACATACGTTCCATCAGTGACTATGTTTTATGCAGCAGTTTTTGGCCAACGACATCATTCTCTAGGTCCTACAACTACCATATCCTCCAGATCTCGTCCCTTGCGACTTTTTCCTCTTCATAAATCTAATCCTACTTGAAAGGAACAAGATTTCAAAATTTCAAGACGTAGAAGAAATCTTACTTATTATAAAACGCAGATTGTGTGTGTGCGTGCGTGCGTGCGTGTGTGTGTGTGTGTGTGTGTGTGTGTGTCTGTACGTTTATATATTGGATCGGATTTCCTACATTTTTCAACCGATTTCAACAAAACTTCACAGGACTACATAAAATTACCTTGCGGTGGTTCTGACAGCGCCAAAAATTGGAAAAGCACAATTGTTTTTGCACGAAATCAATTTGAAAACACGATAAAACACGATTCTGTCGCCAGAATGAAAGGGGTACAACTCATATCGAGTTATACTTATTATAAAACCCAGGTTGTTTGTTTGTGTGTGTGTGTGTGTTCGTTTATATATGGGATCGGATTTCCTACATTTTTCAACCGATTTCAACAAAACTTCACTTTTTGTTGGCAGGTAGTGTTTCTTATTGTCTTGTACACTTTTTTCTTTATTTTTACATTCAGAATGCTTTTAAAATTCCATTTACAAGACTATTGTTTATAATAAAATTCTATTCAATCGATAGACTCATGTCGATTGAAAACAATGTTTTTGTTTGAGTTCGGGTTTGACCAATTCGTAAAACAAAAAAAAAAAAATAATTACGACATGCGTGTCCGTCAACCTTAAACAATAATCTTTGTCAATTTTATTTTTCAGTCTTTATGATGGTCGATACTTGATCTATCTCTTACTGTTACATCCCCGGGCAACGCCGGGCTCTAGTCCAAAATAATCCGACGTGGCAGCTGTTCGCTATCCCCAACAAAAGAGTTCCAAGAATTCTTCCATCAATAGAAACGACGCTGGATAAAGTGTCCGGTTTCAGAAAGAGCCTACTTTGGAGAAGATTAAATGCCGAATTGATATGCATTGTGGTTTTCTTTTCATAGTACCAGTCCCGATACTTTTTGTTCAGACCTCGTATGTTGTACAATAAAGTTAATATGATAGATTTCACTGCATTTGGAGTGTTATGGGCGAAGAAAAATTGCAATTTATTAATTAAAATCATGAAAGTTATTTTAACAGATCATTATAGTCATGATAAAAATCTGAGTTTCGAAAGTTCGTTTAAACCTCCGTTTGTAACGTGGGATGTTTAAACCCTTGACAAAATCGTTTTCCTTTCTTAACAGCAAACTATTATGGTCTATGATTAACAAGATGGACGATGTTTCCATGGCAAATATTCTGACACGATACATTCCTTATTTCAATCAGTTCTAAACCCCGACATGCCACGTACCCTGGGACGAATCATCAGCATTCCCATCGTAAGAAGTAAGTTCCATTCTGACAGCTTATTCCCACGAACTGCTACCCTGTTGATCAAACTCCCGAGAGAGTGCTTCCTTGATCATTTCAATCTTAACATTTTCAAGTCTAGGATTAACCGTCCTCGGTTTTTTGAACAGGAGTAGAGGTTTGTTGCGAGAATGCTGGTTGTGTTTAGGTAGAAAACACGTGTCTTCTGGTACATTTTTCCCCCCAAAATTATTGCGGACTCGAATATGAGTCCGGGTAATACTTGATAAAGTAACAAAACTATATACACATAAACAACAATTTTTTTAGAAAAGTAAAATGGGGTAACTCTACAAGTTTATCTCTTGTTTCCTGTTTAGGATTGGGTTTCCGGTTGCTTCCTATGTTTATTTCCACACTATACTTCTAACGTCTGTGACTGAACTTTGAAATATTATTCACTAATTAAATCTTGACCTCATCAATCCTAGAGTGAGAAGTTATCTTTCCTGCATAGCCCCAAGAACTCCACTTCTTACTCTTTCTTACGCTAACACAACACCCACACAGTAAACCTCTACCTTGAGTGGCTCTTATGCCCTGTATTGGGTGAATAGTAAAAAAAAAACCGTTATCTTTCTTACATATCCTCATAACCTACACTTTACCTCCTCCTTTTATGTTCATACAACGTTATCATTCAGTAACCCTTGAGTGGCTCTTGTTACAAGTCTTGTATTATCAGGCGAACAATTAGTTTTAAAAAGTGGTAAATCAAATTTTTATTAGTCAAACAAAAGTAGCTTTCAGATTACCTCTGTCAAGTAGTGTAATGACAAGGAGTTTCTGGTTTTAGTCTTACTCTTAAACTGCGTGAATTTACAACTTAGGCTGAGCTTAAATATGAAAGTATTTTTACATATTTGAATTTTTAAAACAAATTCATTTTTAATTTTTTTGATCTACCATAAATAAAACAAAAAGAACACTCAAGATAATAACAAGAACTAAATGATTTAAAAAAAAATTAAAATTTTAATAATTTAAAAAAAAAAATCATGTGGTTGTTTGAAAAAAACATACACTGACTACTTAACGGAGGCTTAATAAGTTAAAAAGAGATTTATTATTTAAAATTTACAGATGTAATTAGATTTATTTTTTTATATTAAACGGTTTCTTAGGAATAATATATTTCAAAACAAGAAAGAAGTAAGCAATACATTTTTTTTAATAAAAAAGGCATCAAATAGAAATGCACTTATGTTATCAAGCAGGCAGCTCGAGTTGGTTGTCACTTGCGCCCTCTGACGGCCATCACCTTCACTAAACGAAGGTGAAGAACGAAGGACGAGAAGGCATCTGTTTGCAAGCGGTTTTCGTCGCCACAGCAGCACAACTCTCTAAACAAGTAGAGAGTGAAAGAGAGAAAAAATAAGTATTAACATTTACTCAACATTTTAATTTAAAAGATTTTTCTAAAATAATAATAATAGAAGCCGCCACAGAAATGGCTGATGAAAAACCTGCCGAAGTAACCGCTGCTGCTGCCGGTAAAGAAGGCAAACCAAAAGCATGTTGTGCCTGTCCGGAAACTAAAAAAGCCCGAGACGCTTGGTAAGTAAGAAAGAAAAATAATAAATCGACACTAGTTGAATAATACTATTAATTATAGATACTTTTACACGATCAATTTTCTATTTTCAGTATTTGTGTACACTGTTAGTTACCTTGGCTATAAACATTCGACCATGCTTCTACTTCCAGTTTTGCCATGTGTTTTTAGAGAAGCTTGCCTTTCTTCTTTCAGGAAAATCATGTTTTATCAAAATAAAATAGTTTTTTTTTTTTTTTTTTTTAAACCCTTTTCAAATCATTGTTTGCTTAAATTTGCTTTTTACCTGTTATTATATTTTTGTTTTCTCGGGTCCTTTTTTATTTAATATAATTTTTAAATAGATTTAGAAAAAAACAGGTTTTTTTTTTTTTTTTTTTACTACAGCTTTGAATTTTAGTTTTGCTTTCTTTTTTTTTTTTTTTTTTTTTTTTTTTACTTAAGAAAAAAACTTTGTCTTCACATTCAATTTGAATTATTTCCGTCTAAAAGTTTTTTTTTTTTCTAATTTCAAAAAATGAAGCCAAAACAAAACAACTTCACCAGTCAAAACGAACAAAGTTTGTCAGGAAAAAAAAAAACTTGTCACGGTTTTTTTTTTTACTTTTTACTGTCGACATCGTCCTTTTTTCGATCTCGTAAAAAAAAAAAAAAAAAAAAAAAAGTAATTGATTTTTAATTGAATTGTTTGATATTTCTTTCTTATTGCAGACTTGTTACTTGTTTGTTTCTAACTGCCAAACTTTAACCTTTTCTTTTCCTTGGAAAAAAAAAACACTCTTTCTTTTGCAATTTCATACCTGATCACATAATTACGACTTTCTGTTTTTGAGGCTTTCCCTCCTCCAGGTGCACGATCTTAATTTTTTTTTTTTTTTTTTTTAACACTTATTTCTCGGTTTAAATGACAAATTCTTATTTGATACTGCACTTCTTATATTTTTTCCGCATTAAGTTCATTGTAGTTAGATTGCGGTTTTAAATAATCATTTGGTACTTTTTGAGGTGAGCAAATAAGGTTTCAAAATGTTTTCTTGAAGGGGGACTTGTATGAAGAAATCTTTCTTAGTTTTTAAAAACATTCAC